AATCATTGGATTGTCTGGTCCAGACTCAATTATTTACAGACCAACGCCATATAGGTGAATTATTTCCAAGTGTGGCATCAAGCCTGTGGGTAACATGCATCATGAAAAGGTCTGAAATGGTTTAAAGAATAAGGGGTGGTGGGGTAGCCTTGTGGTCAAAGCGTTTGCTCATGAAACTAAAGACCCGGTTCATTTCCCCTCATGGGTACAATGTGTGAAGCCCATTGCTGGTGACCCTGCCGTGAAATTGTGGAATATTGCTAAAAGTGTTGTAAAACTCACCTCATTCTAAATAAAGACTCGGAGTGTAGTAGGGGAGAGGATGATTGAAATGAACTCTATTACCAGATCAAGTCACTGGCCATGGGAGTAGTATTTTCTCAGGTTTCAATATATACATGAGAAGATCCATCTGACTATAAAAACTCGGACTGTCAGAGTGAAACACCTGTGACCTTTCAAAACAGTTAGAGTCTGGAACTAAACATGCAAATAGGGTGACTTCTGCTCCAGGGTTTAATCAATGTTATCTAGTGAAGAAAATATTCCCATGTAATCTTGAAGACCTTATACTCCCTGTTGATGAAAGTCGACATTGCTGTATTGCAACACCTGTGGCCATCTTATTTCAGACAGTATATGCAGAAAAAGATGCGTTGTTGAAGTTTGAGCCTGACATTACACGTGACATGTAACTATAAAACAAATTATCCAAGCCATGTGTTTCTGAAGGAGCAGTAAAATATGCAGAGTGAGTGAGTGAATAATGTTCAATATCACAGTCAGCATTGTACAGTCTGGACCAGTCAAACCTTGAGTGAGTGAGTGAGTATGGTTTTACTCCACTTTTAGCAATATTCCAACTGTATCGTGGCAGGCGTCACCAGAAATGGGCTTCACACATTGAGGGGAATGGTACCCAGGTCTTCAGCGTGATGAGCAAATGCTTTAACCACTAGGCTACCCAACTTTTCCCTTTGAGCCAGGACCATGGCATCAGGGTGTGATCTCTCACATGTTAGTGGACATGACACAAGCCGTTACAGCTGATCTCCAGTATATCTCCAACCAGCTCTGGGTCCAGAAAATTCTCACAAGTACACAGGAAACTATCAGTTTCATAAGTCCCCAACAAACCCCTAGACAAGATAAAGGCACACACTGTACTCACTCACTCACCTCCCTCACTTACTCACTCACCCACTCACTCTCTCACTCACTTACTCACCCACTCACTCACTCTCACTCACTCACCCATCCACTCACTCACCTCCTTCCCTCCCTCCCTCACCAACTCACTCACCCACTCACTCACTCACCCACCACCTACTCACTCACCCATTCACACACCCACTCACTCACCCATTCTCTCTCACTCACACACCCACCCACCCACCCACTCACTCACCCACCACCTCACTCACTCACTCACTCACCCATTCACCCATTCACCACTCACTCACTCACTCACCCACCACTCTCACTCTCACTCACTCACTCACCCACCCACTCACCTACCCACTCCACTCACCCACTCACTCATTTACTCACCCACCCACCTACTCACTCACTCACTACATTATACTAAAAGATGCTAGTAGATGGTAATGTGAACAATACCAATCAGAATTGGCTATGCACACAGCACATTATGTATGCTCACTCAAAACACAACTGAAAGTTTGAAACTCAGTTTGCACTCTCCAACATAATGGGAAAGATAAAAGGAAACTTGGAAATACCACTTTGTTGACAAATTATGACCTGGATGACTTATGAACACAAGAAAATGGAACTGATGTTTTAGTGTTTTCATAGGAAATAAATTTGAACAATGTTTATGTTTTCACATGTGTCTGCTCCATGTTATACAATGTTTCCGGGGTTCTTTACTTTCATAAGCCAATGTTGAATATTCATTGCAACATCATTCGCAAGCTGAATACAATCAACAACATGACAGTGAAAAATAGATTCAATGCATCAAAAAGCTTGATACCTGAACGTAAGATTCTTGTTTTATTGTTCCTTCAATGCAAATATCAGTTCTCCACAGGTACAAAATGGTTGATTTCTGACCATAAGATTCTTCAGTTCATTCATATTTTTTATTATCCCTTCCATGCAAATATCAGTTCTGCACAGGTACAAAGGTTAAGAGCCCACACAAAACAAAAAAGGTTGATTTCTGTCCGAAAGATTTTTAGATTCTTGCCTCCAATTTACTGTTCTCCAGTGCAAATATTCGACCTGCACAGGTACTGAAGGTAAACAGCCCAACCCATCAGGGAGCTATTTATGTAGTGGTTATCAATATGCATGTCCAGTTCCTTGTCATTAATGCAATCTGCGATTCAGATCAGTGTGCATTTCCTTCTCTTTAGCATCAAGTTTATGACTTTTTGCGTACCAACTTAATTAGAGCCAAGTTCAGGAATAAGGCTGAACACGATCAAGCAACAATGAAAAATGTATAAGTTTATTTTGAGCTCCTATTGCATGTTGGGAATCATGCTGAATTGGTTTCGGCTGCCAGACGAGGAGGACATTCTGAAATAGACCATACCTTTTTATCATTAGAAGTCTATTTTTTGTGGAAAGGACTATTTGTTCAGAATATATTTTTAAGGCTGTAGTAAATTAATTTGTAGAATTTTATCTTTGGTCGTCTTGCTACAAAATGTGATTCTCACGTCATGGTATTTTTTCAGTTGTACCATGAAATAAAGAAAAGGGCCTTGCTCTTTTCTTTCTTTGGAATTCAACTTGTTTGTCATGCCAGACATTTCTGGAATGTATCGAGTAAGCATTTTGTTTGAAAAAATAAATATTAAAATTAAAAGCATCCTGTCTCACAATATTATTCATTTGCATGAAAATGTAATGAATTATTAATTTTGGTGAAATCTATATATGGCAGTACATAGTGGAAACATCAGTGGAATTATAGATAAAGGCTTTATCATGATATTCATGATGATATATATAGGGAAATATTCATCAGTGTTCCATGTGATATTGTCTGATATTTTTACTTTGTGTGGGCTCAGGTATATACATCCCATGCTTGTGAGTGAGTGGGTTTAGTTTTATGCCGCTTTTAGCAATATTCCAGCAATATCACAGTGGAGAACACCAGAAATGGGCTTCACACATTGTACCCATGCGGGGAATAGAATCCGGGTCTGTGGTCGGACGAGCTAACGTCTTAACCACTAAGCTACCCTGCCCTGAGAACCCTACATGACTTTGAGTTCATGGCACCACATGAATTTTTAGACCAAAATCTTTAGATCAGATAGATTGTTGGTTACTTTTCTTCCTTACATTTAAATTTTGTTTCAGATTTAAAATTACAGTTTTGAAACAAAACATTATTTCAAAGGATGTATTTATGTGATGACTGATGATTGGATAAGTAACTGTTCTGACACATGGTCTTTGTAGAACAAAACAAGTTGAATTCTACAAGGAAATCCAGCATTTGTTGATTCTGCTGTGTCTAAATGGCACATGTAACATGGAAGTTGTGACAGAGCTCATCAGTGGTGTCCGGAACTCATTGTATGACCGACCGTCCAAGGTGGATGAAGGAATGTTGCGATTTTCCTTGTAGATGAGTAATCAAATATCTTCTTTATCATGAAATATTAAGAATTTATCTGTGATTTCTTTAAGATGCATCTGATTACCAGTATTAATAAATATTGCTGTTCATTCCTGTGTCAAAATATGCCTGTAGTATATTTAACCTGTGAGATGTTTGTAATGTTCACTCTCTCATTACTTGTGTTTGAGTTGTATATTTCTTTGTTAAGGTAAATAGTCTTGAAATGTAAGTAAAATCCTTTAATCATTATTTCTGGTGTCCCTTGCCGTGATAGTGCTGGAATATTGCTAAAAGCAGTGTAAAACTAAACTCACTCACTCACTTTAATCATTATAATTGCCTGATGGAAGTCAGACTGTGAGACACAGTTGAATTTATACAGTTGTTGTTAAGAAAAGGTTGTTGACCTAAAATACCAAAACATAGTCGTTTTTCTCTGGAATCGGTGAAGGGTTAGGCTGAACAGCCTATGTTATTTTTCGTACAATAAATTGATTTTTCCTGTTTTGATGTGAACGACGTGCAGAAGTTATGCTTTAGGATACTCAGCCAGGTCCTGCAGACCTTGGAATATCTCACGTTCTTATCCAAACTGTAGATAGTGGTGATTAGGGGGGAAGATGTGTTTAATCTTCTGATTACTTTGTCTCTATCGTTTATATCAGCTGTCAGGAACACAATTTCTCCTATGCCCCAATTGTGAGTCATTTTTATCATTGGTTATTTGCAGCAGAGTCTGATGAAGCTGTTTAGCATGTCTTTTGCGGTGAACATCGGTATATGTCAGCGTCAGTTTCAGGGTTTGCGTAGTTGTCATTATCCTCAGTCCCAAGTTAGGTGATCACGAGGAAGGAACGCATTCAGGAACACGTTCAGGAAGAGACAGAGAACACGACTGTTTTCTAAAGGGAACACAATGTTGATTCTCTATGGTATTGATCAGCAGATATTGCTGGTTACGGGGAAGTTTGTTGGCGGTTGATGTAAGAAGTGAAATGTATTACTGACGTGAGTTTCAATCATGAATTTCAACCAGGGATGTTGACGTTCATTCATGCTGAGATATTTCAGTGAGCTGCAGCCGTCAGTTTTTATCAGGAATATTTTAATGTTCATTGGGGATGATACATGTTGCAAGGTATTAGATAAGAACAAGAGGATTTTTATCATGTTAAGGCTGTTGATGTGTATACGGGAAAGACAACAAATCGTGAAGAACATGCTTCCCAGCTTGAACTGAAATAAACACCTGTTGTCTAGATAATGAATATCTAGTAATGAGGTCGTGCACATTAGAAACTGATCACAGGCGGTTTGTCCTGAATAACAACACAGGGAAATATATTCACCAGCTATTCAACAACCTTTGATGGAGCGAAGTTCATGGTAATTCATAACCTGGACATACAGATTATTTCACTGGAGTGAGGAAAGAAAATTTTAATTTACTTGCAGTGTAAATGTGAGTGTGTCACCTGGTGAGTGAATATTGAGTGAGTTTATTGGGAAGTTTGTGGAAAAAGGAGAATTTACAATCATAAGGTAACGGAAACTCAGGCGGAACTGTTCATGTCTTGTTGAGGGTATTGTGTGAGCGTACAGCTTGGGGTGTGTTATGGTTCTATATTGCTTCTGTACATGCACAATACTCATCATTGACAGGGAATAACAGGCTGGAGTCACTGCTTGAATGAAGAAGTGCTGTACATTGTAAACCTGAAAGTATTCTATGCGATAGCTTTCCGGAAGGGAAAAGTTAGTGTGTGACCATATATCACTGTTCAGTGTCTTGTCAGCCAAACTTGATCCAACTTGTGATTATCGTGTTGAATGAAGATTGCGTAGGACTCGCTGTGAGGAAAACTGTACTCTTACTGATCAATAGAATTCCTTTTTCTTACCACATATCGCCAACCCGGACAAAACAAGTCAGAGCCGTGTATGTGTACTGTTTTGACATTGACGTGATTTCGAAATGAATGTGACAGCAGGTGAAATGTACATGCAACTGAGAGCTGTTTTGAAATTCGTGTTGGCCAATATTAACCAATCCAAGTGATCAGTGCATTAGGTAGAGAGAGATAGGGGTACGCCTCCCAACAACCACAGTACAGAGATAGTGATATCTTCCGCGCTGTATCAACACAAGAGTAGGACACAGTCAGTTGGGAGGATATCGTAGTGAGAGAGAGAGAGGCTCAGTCAGCTGACTGGTGAGATTATTGAGAGGCCGTTCCTCCCCTCCTCTCCCACAGGTGGAGTGCCATCCTGGATTATCTGCCATCGACATCAGAACTGTCAAGATTTTATTTTCAAGTCCATGCTGTGAATTGCTGAAGCTTCAGTGTGTTGTATTACAGCTGAATTTTGTTCCCGGTGTGAGGAAATTTCTAGAAGCAAATTGATTGTTTGGGAGTGATTGTATTTGTGGGATAGCGTGAGCTATTTCAAAGTGATTTGCTTCCAACTGAAGCCAGTGTTTTCCGAGGGTGGCTATTTTTGGATTACAAAAGTATCCTTGGTAATTAGGTGTTTGTGTGATTTTTAATTTTTTTTAGAGTGATTAATTTTTTTTAGCTGTGTTTTGTATCCGGATTGTCGTGTTGCCATCAACAACTTCAATTAGTGTAATTTGTGAAATTGGGGAAAGCGTGACACTGGCAGTATAGGATAAACCAGGTGAAGGCAGACGTGTATTTTGTGCCATGTTAATGATCATTTGTAAGATTTTATTGTGCTGACGATACCCACTGCATTGCTAACTCAAATTGGGATCCTTTAGGAGTGTAACAAATTTGATAGTTACCGTCATTGATCTAGCAGGAGACTCCAGTTGGTTTCCTCAATTGTTGAAAGCGTAACGTGAAGACAGGCATGCCAAGATGAAACTTCTCGGAGTAGAAGCCGTAAATGAGGAAACCGCCTTCATACCGAAGACCGGTGCTGACCAGACACCAGCAGAAACTCCTACTATCATAGTAAGTTCTGCCGATCAGCAACCCAACGGGAATGAAATTGAAAAGGCAGCTCCAACGGATGAGGAAGAAAAAGGTAGGCTAGCCATGGTTCCCCTTGAATCTGCTGACTAGATGCTGACTTAGTGCAGTGTCTGTTGATAACTTGGCTTGTTTAAAGTTTAAAGATTGTGAGTGTGTTGATGATAGCAACTGTTCCCTTATGTGTTACTCTATTGTTATTTTAAAAATACATTGTTAGATATACACTGTAGTGTGTATAGATGATTTTGATTTGTTTTAAATGTAGAGATTCAGGCTAATTTAGCAATGTCCTTTCATATGAAGAGAGATACTTCAAATTTTTATTTTGGATAAACAGATTGTGCCTCAGGTCAGTGTGTGTGCTGATGACTTGGTGTTGTTTGAAATCTACATTTAGAATTTGATGGTAGGGTATGTCCTTTTGTATGCAGACAAATGCCCCAAATTTTGTTTTGGGGTTAACAGATTGTGTCTGTTCTGTGTGTGTTTTGATAACTTGGAGTTGTTTAATGTGTAGAGATTCAGACTGATTTGAATTTTTGTGGGTCAGGTGAGCCGTTACCTGTGATAACGCTCGCCTTGTTGCTGGATTTGTGGACAGAGGGGCCAGGTAGCCCAGACCTGATATTGTCAGGATTCTATGAGCCTCAAAATGTTTATGTGTAAGTTTATGTTTATTAATTTTGATCCACTGAAAAATCAGAATGGTCAGGATTGGGTTGCAATAGATTAGTTGCAATATGTGAAATTGGTTGCAATATGTCAGTGTGTGGCCGTACTTAATATTAGTTGCAGTGTTGTGATATGTCAGATTGGTTGCAATATGTCACGGTGTGGCAGTAGATCAGTTGCAGTGTTGCAATATATCAGATTGGTTGCAATAGGTCAGTGTGTGGCAGTAGATCAGTTGCAGTGTTGCAATATGTTGGATTGATTGCAAAATATCATGGTGTGACAGTAGATGAGTTGCAGTGTTGCAATATGTCAGATTGGTTGCAATATATCAGATTGGTTGCAATAGGTCAGATTGGTTGCAATAGGTCACTGTGTGGCATTAGATCAGTTGCAGTGTTGCAATAGGTGAGATTGATGGCAATAGGTAAACGTGTGGCAGTAGATCAGTTGCAGTGTTGCAGTATGTGAGATAAGTTGCACTAAGTCTGTAGCAGATCAACTGTAGTGTAATGCGATAACTCAGTGTGTGGCAGTAGATCAGTTGTAGTGTTGCTATATGTCAGATTGGTTGCAATATGTCAGTGTGTGTGACAGTAGATCAGTTGCAGTGTTGCAATGTATGAGATCGGTTGCAATATTTCAGTGTGTGTGGTAGTATATTAGTTGCACGGTTGCAATATGTCAGTTTGGTTGCACTAAGTCAGGGTGTAGCAGTAAATCAATTGCAGTGTTGCAATGTGTTAGATTTGTTCTGATGTGTTGCTGTAGGTGAGACCTGTTGTGCTATATTAGTTGCACTTTGGCAGCAAGTTCTGTGTCTTGCAGTAGGTCAGATGTGTTGCTGTAAGTGAGACCTGTTGTGCTATATTAGTTGCACTTTGGCAGCAAGTACTGTGTCTTGCAGTAGGTCAGATTTGTTGCTGTAGGTGAGACCTGTTGTGCTATATTAGTTGCACTTTGGCAGCAAGTACTGTGTCTTGCAGTAGGTCAGATTTGTTGCTGTAGGTGAGACCCGTTGTGCTATATTAGTTGCACTTTGGCAGCAAGTACTGTGTCTTGCAGTAGGTCAGATGTGTTGCTGTAGGTGAGACCCGTTGTGCTATATTAGTTGCACTTTGACAGCAAGTTCTGTGTCTTGCAGTAGGTCAGATTTGTTGCTGTAGGTGAGACCTGTTGTGCTATATTAGTTGCACTTTGGCAGCAAGTACTGTGTCTTGCAGTAGGTCAGATGTGTTGCTGTAGGTGAGACCTGTTGTGCTATATTAGTTGCACTTTGGCAGCAAGTTCTGTGTCTTGCAGTAGGTCAGATGTGTTGCAGTTAGGTCAGTCTGTAGGTCACTCTGTCTCTTCTGCTGAAAGTATATTTCTGTACAAAAATGTGACCTTCCAACACATTTGTGCAGATAAGACCTCGCAGACTTGACACTTCCATGGCTCTTCTGCACTCAAGGGGTTTGTGAATTTGGTTGCTATTTGTTCATAAATGTGTTGTACGAGTATTCAGATGGATTTTTGCAGGCCGGCTGTGGTGAAGATTGAAATATACAGTCTAACACTAGTATCAATTCATCTAAAATTGATAAATGATATGTTTTCTTCTAAACTTTGTATGACATAAGTGCCACAAAATCAATAGCTAACTGATACAAATCACAGTGGCGAATTGATTGTACATATATCATATATCATTACTGTATATCTCTTGGCTTTTGCCCAGTATTCGTATGAGTAATCTGATAGAGTCCACCCTATTACGACATGATATAATGTGAAGCAATTGATCATACCCATATAACACTGTATTTTGGTGGTGATGGAACATCCTACTCCTAACATACCGTTACATACAAACAGTCTATATTCCGATTCATTGGGCAGTGGGGTAGCCTAGTGGTTAAAGTGTTTACTCATCACGCCGAAGACATGGGTTCAATCCCCACATGGGTACACTGTGTGAAGCCCATTTCTGGTGTCCTCCGCTGTGATATTGCTGGATCATTGAGGCATGAAATCTAACTCACTTTTTCGGTTCTTAAACAGTTAATTTTTAAACCTCAAAAATTGAAAGTGACATTTAGTTTTAGTGAGATTTATATTTTCTTTTATTTCCATGCTTTATCAATAAACATTCTTCCAAATTTTCAATCAACATTATAGGCTCAGTAATGTTACCACACCCCATCAGGTGGTATAATATTAGTCTGAAACAGCTGTCAGTGATTTAATGACAGACGGAGAACTAATGGAAGCAGCACATGTAATGAGGTACAGGCACTTGGCAACAAGGGTGGGGTGGGGGGGTAATTTCATAACAAATTACACCCTTTAAAGCACCAATCATACCAGAGGAAGATACGTCAGTTTGAATGACTTTGAAAAATTGCCATCCGTCTGCTTCTGTTCAACAATGTCTGGGACCCTTGATTTACAGCTTCAAATTAACACCTTTTCATGTTGAGAAACCATCCTAATCTGACCACCTGCTAAGGAGAGTGGAGGTTTTGTTTCATCTGTGTAGTAGGTGTAATTATGCTAGGGAGTTTCAAAAGTCGCTCCATGATGTCGGAATCAAAAGGTCACTCAGAAGTTGGACTGAGATGGTGAAACTTAATGATTTTAAATCAAATGTTTTATCAGTGTCAGAGGCATAAATTCAAGAATGCACATTTATGCTGTGTCCATACTATCAATCTGGCATGCCTTGTATAGTTTACATTTCATGATGATAGATATAGGTTTATTTTCTGCATTATTGTCATTCTGGGAAGTCTTAGCACTGTATGGGGTCATCAGGAAATATAAATGTTTATGATGCTTCAAAGATAAACATTTTCTCATTATGTGGTTAATATACTTTTATTTAAAATGGATCATAATTTCACTATTAGCCTCAAGAAAAGTCTGAATGCAGAGCAGTAGTTTAAAGTCAAGCATTAAAATTCTCAGTAACTCTGTTCTCTTTTCAGTTGAATAGTAAGTTTAAATAATCTATTTATTTCAAAAATACCTCTCTCAGAAAAGTTTAATTCTCTGATTACAATCTATCTGACATCATAAATTTAGTTATATTTCCATGTTGTCGTTAGGGAAGCAGTTAGTGTGTTCAACCGGTATAAGTAGATCCCGACCAGTAGTGATGTCATCGTATGTCAAAATATTAAGTACATTTTTAATGTTAATGCTTTATCAGTGCAAATGTATGAATTTTGCAGCCAAATTAATTATTAATTGATGCAGAAATGTTTATATGTTTATTAAGGGAACTGTAGTTATGATGGAAATTGAGGAGGCAGAAAATCGTGTAATGGATCAGTCTAGTTCATATTTAACATTAAAATTGATGAAATGCCAGTCTACATTGGGTGTTTTTATCTATACACATACAGAATAATTTTGTTTTTAATCTGTATACCGTGCTACTTTCAAGTTGGTGTTCAGTACAAACAGTTCCACTTAATGATGCTGCTGGGGACATCATCACGATATGGCTGAAATATTGCCAGTGTGACTTTAGATGTTATCTTCCTCACCCCTGTGGGACAGAGGAGAGGTGGAGTGTCCTAGTACCGGTAGTTAAAGCGTTGGCTCATCACGCTGAACACCCGGGTTCGATTTCCCACTACAATGTGTGAAGCCCATTTCTGGTGTCCCCGCCATGATATTACTGGAATATTGCTAAAAGCGGCATAAAACCACACTCACTCACTCACTCACTCCAGTGTTCATGGTGATATTGTCATGTATGATTAAAACCTGAGTATTATTCATCCTGGGTATACTGGGTAAACAAGGCGCCCAACCATCCAATACTTACAGTGGAAGTATCTGAGAAGGGAATTGCAGCTCAAATATGGCAGCTCAAAAAGGACAATATTCGGATGTGTAACAACCTTCACTTGTGACCTCTGGTGAAGCCATGTTACTGCATTTCAACAGTAATCTTGATCACACATTATAAGGATGTTATACACATAAATGCTGTCCACTAAGCCATCAAACTCTGCTCACTTAATACATTGACAATAATAGTTTCATACTTCATCATCTTACAGGAAATGAAAAACCTTCCGACCTCATGCATGGTTGTCATGGTGACACGTGACTGGAAGTCATGGTGACCGTCTATGTAGTTAAAAATAAGAGCTGGCAAATGACATATTTTTGTCACAGCTTGTCTTTTAGTGTTTTGAATTTGATTAAGTCCCCAAAATTCAATTATTTAATGCTCACGGCACAAAGCACGTTGAACATGGTAATAACATTAAGCCTCAACAAGTAACACTTGAGTGTCAAAGTGAAACGTTTTCGATTCCAATAAGCTAATCATTGTGTGTTGTACATAATCATCCATACTATCTCCGGCGGATGAAAACTGGA